GGGCTGCCCCGCTCTGCACCGGGGCACTGATGCGCGTGCTCTCTTCATCTCTATTTCTAATTTGTTCTGTCGACGAGTAATCTCTCCCCTGGTCTTAATATTTCAAGTCTGGCCTCTAGGTGTGCGTTGCTGGGGGAACTGGAATGTAAATAAATCTGACTTCACCTTGAAAAATCTCTGCCCCTCCCACTTATTTTTCCTTTGGGTGCCTCAGAGAGAAAAGCAGAAGCAGATGGTTCTGCGGGCCGCTTTTCTGCACGTGGAGCCTGCAGATCTGGCCAAGGCTCGCGCTGGGGAGGGGCGCCGGCCCAGGGTTGGGGGATTTGTCATTCAGCATCTGCATCTGCTTTCTTTAGGGACGACCCCTTGTGAATGGCGGATGGCCCCGCCCACTGTCAGCCGGATGTATGGGACAATCATGGCAGTGCCACCTCATCGCTCTCTCTCCACCCGTGTCCCCTCTGCTGCGCGCAGCCAGAACAGCCTTGCTGAGGGTCTCTGAGCGAGCTGGGTGGCCCCGTCAGTGCTCAGGGCTGCAGGCCGTCCTCCCGGAGCCTGCAGGGGCCCCACGGGCCTGGCACGAAAGAGGCCGCACCCGTATGGTACTCATCCTCACGGTTCCCAGGGCCCAAGTTCACTTTTCATTCCTTCAAAAGGCCTCTTCAGCTCAACACAGACTTCCACAGATGGCTTAGGGTCATCTCAGAAACATGTGTGGGTCAGACGGGGACTGCTCCTGCAGGCCCAGAAGTCACTTCACACACAAGGTTCGTACTAAAAATACCTTACTTAAGACAATAGTAGGAGAATGTGGCTCAGAGAGCCTTCTTCCCCACCATCCTGTAGGCTATACGGACGGGGCTTTCAGGTTATAAGGTGCTCCCTCCTCCAGTCTGAAGCAGTGCTGTGAGTGTGAGCCCAGGGGGGAAGGTCAGGCCCCGGCCTGATGACGGCACACACATGGAAGCAACTGTCAGCTGTGGCCACTCAGCCTGGCATCATGCACTGTCTGCTTTTACCAGCACCCTGCTGGATATCTCCAAGGACACCATCACTCACCCGTATTACTTGCTCGTTTCTATAGCAAGATGTTCACTTGTGTTAATTATCTACAGTTTTCTTCAGCTCTAATCAAGGAGTGAATTGAAGTATTTTAGTACCTTCATTAATTTCACACCTTTTCTCCTCTATATGATGGCTTACTCATGTTTCTTCTAGAATAAGTAAAAGATTCTTTTCAATTATTCCTGTGAAGTGATATGTTCCTGCTTTTCTGGTTACCAGGGTCACACCAGCTCAGGTTAGCAAGACACATGCCCACTCATACCATTTGATGGATGTCTACAGAATGACGGCCAGGTGCAGCCAGGTGGTGGAGGAGCCTGCCCCAGGAGCATCCACTCTGGGGAAGGGGGAGACAGCATAGGTGCATGTCAGGGTATGCTTAGGATGCTATGGAGTCAGCGGGGGCACCACCCATGCTCAGAAACCCCAGGAAGTCCCCCTGTAGGAGGTGGCAGCTGAGCTGGGGAGGTGTGAGCCAATGTAGGGTTGCAGATGAGGCTGACTGTGGGTGCATGTGCTCAGAGGGGGAGAACAGGGAGTGTCTGGGGAAATGTCATGAAGCCATGGAGTGGCCAGCCCTTCACCCAGGACTTCCAGTCTGCAAGCAGCCCCACTCCCTGTGCCCCACCCTCCCGGGCTTTCTCTGGCTCCTGCAAAAGAGACTCCCAGACCTCGCAGGTGGCATGCAAGTAGTCACACACTTCAGGAGGCTCTTGGTTCCCCCCCGCCAGGGATAAACTGTACCCATCTGTCTGTGGAAGTTTCCTTCCCAGATGGCGAGCTGCGCTTGGGTCCCTGAGTGAGCCCACAGCTCTGCCCACCCTTTGCTCAGAGGTATGCAGACCTGCAGGCACTGGGACAAATGGAGAGCAGCAGTCTGGCTTGTGTTGGCCCCCCCGACACTGTTTCTGCTCCTCCTCCAGCATGAGAGAGTCCTCAGCAGCGCATCCAAGAGGCTGGGCCAGACTGGGGTGAGACTCTGGAGCCTATTCAGCCCTCTCCCTCGCCTGGCCCTCCCCTCTGCCCTCCTCTTTGGTCCTCATCCCATCTGGCTCTGAGATGCCTGCGGAGGAGAGGAGGTGAGAATTCAGCCCCCAGCCTGAGGGTGGCCTACTCAGAAGCGTACTGAGACGCCATAGCCCTTCCAGATGGGCCTTCCCTGACCTGTTTCTCTCCCTGGGAGGCATGGCGGGTCATGAAGATGAAGGGCAGTGAGCCCAACAGCCAGGGGTGGACTTGGGGTGGCTTCCCAACACTGCAGAAGTTAGCAGGGAGGGCACAGACCCTGCAGATCTGAAGACCAGCAGCCGCCTCCATGCACCGGGTGGGCAAACTGAGACCCCCCTTTCTGTGTTTCAGGGCTACCGGGTCCCTAGGAAGCCCGTGACAGCAGACACCTTTATACGCTAGGAGAAGGACGTAAGAACATCCTGCTACTGAAGGCGGACATGAGGGGTCCGGCCTTTCAATCATGTGGGCTCGCCACCCAGGCACAGGACCTGAGCCGTGGCGGTGAAACGCGCGGACTGGGGGATGACTGAATGAGGGCCTGTGGGCGCGACCGCAGCCCTGACTGACCTCAGCCCAGCACTGTGGGGCGCTCCCTGAGGCCCCGGGGTCACTCCTATTTGCAGACTCCCGGCTCACAGCAGCACGCTTGTTGCTGCAGCTGTTTCTGGGAAGGCAGCACTTCTCACGTTCAATCTCAAACTTCTGAACGTGACTTTTGTACGGTTTTGGGTAGGACAGTCAGGTAAAGAGCAACCATACTCCCCCCCACAAATACCTGTCACCAGTACACGTGGGACAGCTAACTTGTTGGAGCTAAAGAGGATGAGCAAGTGGTCAGGCTAGTCCCCTACTTGATGCGCTGATGAGGTCAGCCTCATCTTCTCCTCCCTGGGAACAAAATAAAAAATGTGATTTCAAAGGTCATGCTCTCAAAATGGATCATGTGGAATGCTGTACATGGTGTCCCCCGCCCTGGGGCTTGTTACACGGCAGAAACAGCCACACAGTGCACACGTTTAACTCTCAACAGCCAGTCGCAGTCATGCTGGCCACGACTCATCTGCTGCTCAGATGGCCACTGTCACCAGTAGTCACGTGCCTGCCAAAATACTTATCTTTTCAACGACATTATCTGACACATAAGTCTCCCTTCTGTTACTCAAATGAAAATCTCCACCCAAATGGGGGTTCCGTGCTCTGGGGGGAGGCAGATAGGGAGAGGGCAGAGGTCTGGGAACTACAGTGGCCTCCTCACCTCCCAGGACAGAGCAGGGACAGGAGAAAGAGGTCATTCCATACTCTATACCAAATTAAAGAGCCTCCACAACATGGAAGGTCTGGGCATGGTTGAGGCCTCCAGTATGTATTCACAATACTCTTGGACTGTATTAATAACCTTTGGGTCTCAAAGAGCAGCCCTCTTGGTGGCTGACCTGATGTGTAAGAGCTGGAGGCTTTGGGCTGATACCAGAAGCCCTTTGCACCCAGGATGGGGAAGGCTTTCACCATCAGAACAAGGAAAAAGTTACCGAGAGCCTGTGTGCCAGGCATTCATTTGGGGGGACCCCAAAATGAAACACCTCGGCCTTGTCTTTGAAGAGCTCACTATGTCCTGCCTTTCATTTGGGCAACCACAATAGGGCCTAATGGTCTCCTGTGGATGCTGCTCTACTTCCTCAGGGATAGGGTCCTGCATCCAGTTCTTCAAGAAGAGCAAGGTCATCACTACCCATCCTTCCCTGTGTTGCTCCTTGGCCCCCAGGTTTGAGTGGAAGCCTTTGGAGCTTATCAGGATACCAGGTCAGAAGAGAGCATCTTGTCCAGTGTTGGTGAAAACTTGAATGGCAGCCTAAAGACACCTAAAGGTAGCTTACTAATCTATATTCCCTTCAGGAAGCTAGGTAAAAAATAGGCAAGTCTTAATTTCCTCTTGTTTAGTTGGTTGTAGAAATAAAGCAATCACAGCAGTGGGCAGATAAAGAAAGACGCTCAGGGATTTCCTATCTGCCACCAAATAAAGACAAACATTTCAGCTGGGTGTAAAAAGGTAGGTGAAAATTTGCTGGTATATTTAAGCTTCTAGGAAACCTTCTGAAGCTTGGCAACTTGCTTTTTCAAAAGGAATTTGTTTTTTTTCCGTTTGCTTTTGTTTTTCGCTTGGAATTTCTGTTCTGCAACAGTGCAGGTTCTAAGTGTCCCTTTGACCGGCACTAAAGCTGTGGAACGTTCTACTTTGCCATATTGTTTGCCAAATTCATATTCTCCACCTCAAAACATTCATTCAAGTAACTGAGCTCATTGCCAAATAAGAGTAGAAGGCAGTCTAATTTTTCAGAACACCATTTAAATGGAGAATTTTTAAACTGCACGTAGCTCTTAAGAGCTGTAATTTAACAAGAGCAAATTTTCTAAACAAGATAAGCGTCTCGCTTCCTGGCAATGATTCATCTGGTTATATTTGGGGATGATACGCAGCTGCTATGATATAAGCTGCCATAACTGTAGGCCAGTCGTGGCTCTGAAAACAGGGAGCTACTTCTGAGCACTTGGTAACTAGCTACTGTCCCAGACTGGCGAGACCGCCCGCCGCTCTGGCCCCCATGGCCCCCACATCTCCTCACAGGCCTCCGGGATCTTCTCTGGGCTATGGCTGGTCCGCTCCTGACTGGCCAGCGCCTGTGCCACCAAATATTTTGAGTATTTCCCCTTCTTACAAATGTCCTGGGGACAGTGACGTTGAAAGAAGCTGCTAGACTTTTGTTTTCCACACTCTCTTGTCGGCAGTATTACTGGATGCACATAACTAAATTGACTCGTTGGTAACAAATCAGGAAATCCTACAGGAACCATACGTGTACATGCTAGCAGAGGTGGGAGGGAGGTGCCGAAAGCACAGGACCCCAGAAACATAAACAGCAGCTCACACGTTGAGGGGCAGCTGGATTTTGGGAGCTGTGCCTTGCTGTTCAGCCGCTGGGGCGGGTCCGGCCGAGGAAGAGGAGTCCTGGAAACAGACAAGAGGAGACAGGAGTGAGTTCACAGGAGGCCCCTGCCCCAGAGAAGAGAAAGGCAACATCAGGCTGGAGTCCAGAGGCACCTGTTCTCTCCTCACCGGCCTCATCTTCCAGCCTTCAAAACCCTCAGGTCCCACCTGTCCGGGTTGTTTGTTAGTACCATTTTTTTTTCCAGCCCATTGGAGGAGCTTGGTGGCCACAGACACCTGTCCTGAAGCAGCTTCCAAGCGCCCGCCAGGAACGGCTCAGAGTCACTCTTTGGGCTTGGGTCTGGGTTGGTCAGCATTCACACTGTGTTTAACATAGAAGAAGGCAGTATGGGGAGACCTGTTTTTATTCTTAGAACTTGAATTAATTATTCTTGCATTTGTCAAAGAAGACCCAGACAAAACCTTTCATGTGACAAAGCACAAGCTTATGTAAAGGCTGCATTTCCAGGAGCTGAAGATTAACCCCTAAGGAAAACTGGTCCTGTGGCAGTGACCGAGGGGCAGGTGCTAGAGAGCAAGCATTATTCAGGGAGACTGCTGGAGGAGTGGTCTACTTGGAGGTGCTTCCCACTAAGCCTGTGGTGCATGTTAAACTAGCCAAGGGAAGTGGTCAAGGGCCAAGCAGAGGGATCTGGGCCCCACAATGATCTGGCTGAGGTGATTTTTGCACAGGGAATCCTGTAGACCCAGCCATAAGGGGCGACGCTGTCCCCAGCCCCTCACCACCTGCCTTGCCCGTCCTGCCCCAGCCCTTCCTAGGGCAGCACCCTTCTTCTTGGGCAGACATATTTTATGCCACAGTGAGTTGAACTATGTCCCCCCCAAAGAGATGCCTAAGCCATAGTCCCTGATATCTGTGAAGGTGACCTTGTTTGGAATAAGAGTTTTTGCAGATAAGGTAGATATCCTGAGATGAGATCACCCTTGATTACAGTGGGCCCTAATTCTGGGGACAAGTGTCCTTCTAAGAGACAGAAGAGGAGAACAGAGACACCCAGAGGGGAAGAAAGGCCATGCGAAGACAGAGGCTGAGACAGGTGTGATGCAAGGGATCCAGGCAGCCAGAAGCTGGGAGAGATTCTCCTTCGGCTTCCAGAAGCAACCAACCCTGCCAACACCTTGATTTCAGACTTCTGACCTAAGAATTGATAGAGAATAACTTCCTGGTGCTTTGAGCACCCCCCCCCCGTTTGTGGTACAGTTACAGCAGCCTCAGAGATGGGGATATCTAGGGGTGTCTGGAGGAGGGTGAGATCCATACCCCTCAAAGCCGAGGGAGCCAGGAGTCTCCTTCCTTCCTCGAGGGTCCGTTTTAGGCTCCCCAACAAGGGACGGGACAGGGATCCTGGAGGGAACTGGATCCAGATGAGCAGGGAGCCAGGCAGGCTTGAGCAGAAGCCTCAGGAGGTGCTAGTGCCTTGGCAGAGGCAGGTGGGGGAGTGGGCTGCTGGGGGGCTTCCCATGGCTCTGACTAGCAAAGATGCACATGGCACCATGGGTGGTCCTCAGGAGGGTGAAGGTCACCAGAAGCAGAAATCACAAAGATGGAATGAGAGATGCACCTGGCACGTGCCCCAGGCAGGCAGAACCACCCTACAACTCAAGCGACAATCACGTCCCTTTCTTGTTTGTGTGGAGGGCTGAGGGGGCCATTTCTCATCAACTCACTGACCAGTTCGGACCGTGCTCAGCTGATGAGCTCTATGTGCTGCCAGCAGCCCTTGCTAGGCAGCTTCCCTCCTCCACCAGACCAGGAAAGGTGCCAGAGACCACAGCACAGCCACACCTCTGAGAAGTCAGAAAGTCTACTTCTTGTTCTTTGGACAACGGGGTGCCTGGCAGAATGAGAATGTGCAAGCAGGAACATAACATCCCTTGTGTCTCCCAGGGAACTCCAAGTCTGACAGGAGCTCCTACTCCTGGGAGAGAGAACTTTGATTTTCAAAGGCAGCCCCTTCATGGATTGTGTCCCTGTGGCTGATGCACAGGTGCCATGTTCCCAGAGTGCTGCTTGGGAGCTAGGCTGAACAGAGAGAGACTTCTTGCTTGCTCATCACACCAGCCCTCTGCCAGAAGGGAGACGGAGACCACCAAAGGCTCGGGATCGTTTCCCTTCAGGATAGTTGCCGGTGGAGTTCACCACAGCACCACAGAGCTTCAGGCAGGGACCAGAGGGCCCTCCACGGGTGTGGCCACCTGGCTCCGGGTCCCCCCGGGGTATGGAGGACCCACAGCTCTCCTTGTATGGCCATGGGAGAAAGGTTAGGGCCCTTCGTTCACTCCCTAGAGCAGGCGTGGGGCGGGGGGGGGCGGGTAGGCAGATGGTGGTGAGCAGACTCCAGAGGTGGTCAGCAGATGTTAGTGAGCGACATCACAACTAGTGAGTTAATGGGAAATGCCCCCCCTCACCCCTCCATGCAAGGAAGACGGTGTGTGATGGGCAGCCAAGTTGTAGGGCTGTTGTGTCCGGAAGGGGCCTGTTCTTGGTTTTCACTGACTTCTGCTGACAGCCTGTCAGGACCGGCTCAGGGCACAAACACAGACTCTGACCCCAGTGTGGGGCTCACACCGCGGGGGACAAGCTTTGCACCTGTCACAATAAAGGCAGGGCCATAAGAACATACCGCAGGGATGTCACATGGGGCCAGGGCTGGAGAGGGCCTCTGTGAGCCGCAGGCTGGCCTGTTAGATGCGGGGCTGGGGGTCGGCTGGGTGAGAGAGGGGCAGAGGCCTGCCCGGCAAAGGCTGGGAGAGACAAGCTCAGCGTGCTTGAAAAACTGGGAAGAGAGGAAAGGCTGGAGGAGGGACAAGGGGCAAGCACCCAAGGGCTGCGGAGCCAGGCAGTTCATGGCTCCCTGGGCCGCCATGCAGGTTCTGGTCTTTACCTTGAGGGCAGAGAGAGGCCCTGGAAGGTGGCGGGAGAAAAGCGGAGGTGAGACCAGACCCACGTCTTACAGGGGCACCACGACGTGGCAGAGCAACCGGCCCAAGCCACAGGCTCCGGGAAGCGAGTATTTCCAAGGGGAAGCCGCGTCCTCAGCCACGCTGACTGCTGCTGACCAAGGCCAAGGAAGCTGAAGAGCAGGAGGATCCCTTCAATATGGGGACGCAGGCACGCCCAGCATGCTTACAGAGCAGGCGGTTGTCGCTGTTGGATGACCAAGGTGGTTTATGCTCCCTGACCCCGCTTCCCAGGACACACAAATGACATGGGTCTGGTAGGACTCACATTCCCTGGAGCCGAAACCAAGAGGTGGACGCTTAACCAACTGAGCCACCCAGGCGCCTCCCCCCTTTTTAAAGGTTTTTCATCATTTTAATATCAAGTGACTATGGGGTTTTCTGATACATTTTCAAAGTAATATAAAAAGAATAACGGCTCAATTATTTGAGGTCTGTTTTAAGATCACACTGGTTGATGGTGATTCCATACTTCCCTGGACTGTACACACGCCATCTTTGTGGCGATGCCAGGAGCGGACAAGAGAGGACCCTGGGGATGACCCTTCCGATCGGGCGCCAGGCGGCTGCTGGCAGCAGTACGTGGGCAGAGGGCAATCAGCGGGGCACCAGGAGCCACAGGGACACACAGTAACTGGCTTAGACGGAGGCCAAAGCCATGACCCTGCTTTCATCAGGATTCCTCCTGTCCAAATAAATTCTCCTGAAATAGCCAACCAGTCCAAACCGCTGACCCAGTGTGCAGATTGCTCGGCATCTTGCTGTGCTTGTAAGGCAGCCTGCCTGGGCGCTCTATTCCCCAGTGTCCTCGAGCAGGTCAAGCCCCCATCCAGCAGAAGGCAACAATGTATGTGGCCAGGGGAGACAGAGAAGATTGATTTCCATCTGCCAGGCAGGGGTGGGGGGTGGGGAGGCTGGCTGGGACCGTGGGCTGGGCCCGAGCTTGTGGCATTAGGGCTCCAGACCCCATCTTCGCTGGCCTCTGCCAACTCCCGGGGACCAAACATAGGATGCTCCATGTGGCAAAGTGTCAGGAGGCTCAGGGAGGGCTAGGGGGTTGCCCGGGCACATGGAGCCACCTGAGACACAGGACTGCGCCTAAATAAAGCCAGAGGGGAGGGGCCTTCTGACAGCTTTGCTGGAAACCTGGCCTCCCGTTGAAACTTGGTATGTCTAATGCTATAAAGCAAATATGTGGGACTGCATAGCAAACCATTACTTGGAGTTGCAGGGGAGCAGCAGAGAGAGATCACCCTTGTGAAAACGTTTTTCTCAAACGTCAAGATGGAGAGTATCGAGGTCTAATGCTCAACAGAGTGTGTGTTCCTGTCTTGCTCCTCTGTGCAATGCAATGCAAAGCCCAAGGCAACAGGCCTTCCAGGGTATCTGCTGAGTAGTGGCTATGCCAGGCCGGGCTCTGTCCTCATGGACGTAAAAACCAAAAAGTGTGACTCTCTGATCAAGATGGGGTTTCCATCCAACCTACTCTGAATCAGATCTTCATTTTTGTTACTATCAGTAGGAGCTGATAAGAAATGTTGCTGGGGCCAAGGGGTGGACGGGCGACCCCTGCTGACTGCTGAGCTGTGGGCAACTGAGGACCACACACCCAGTGGAGCAGAATATAACCAATGAGATCTTGGGGCCTCTTAAGGAGCCCCAAGAGGCAGCTGGGCCGCTGCTACCTGCTGGCAGGTATCACAGCAAGAAGGGGCTGTCCTTTAAGTGATCCTGATTAAAAATTCATGAGCACAGTGCATCCCACCGTGTTCCTGCCAGGGCCTGGGAGGCATGGTGTTCACAGGAGGCACGCTACACCCTTAAGAAATTTCTCCTAGAACACATAGGACAAGCAAAGTTTAGTTTGAGACTGATTTAATGCAACACGAGGGTGTCTTGTGCCTCTTGCCCTCCAGCTCTGACCACGCTGGATGGGGCTTTCTGGGCCTTGGGACTGAGGTTTGTTTCCTCCTAGTCAAGAGCCACATTGCTGATACTGCTTTGATTTTTAATGGCTTAATTTTAAATGATTCTGGGCC